TGTGTGAGCTTTCGGGCTCTTGCGGGAGTCCATCGCTAGTAATAAGAGCGTCCATAAAAGCAAGCAACAGTTATAGGGGCAGGAACCAACCAACCGTTATACGGGAAGAGGAGGGAACTCATTGAACAACAGTGTCGGCCGTACAGATATGCCTGCGGAGGACGATGTATACCGGTTCCAGATCGATAGATCGATTGACTGAATTCTCATCCGAGGCCCAGGCTTCAAGCAATTCACGGATTGTCCTGTTGTCGGCGTGGGCGATTATCGTGATGTACATCGGCATGCAGTATGTATGTTCTGACGTGCACTTTGGATTTGACTTCGTAGAAGCATGCAAATTTGTCTCATTAGAGAGCATGATTTTTGTCAGAATATTGTTCTCCTGAGCGACTTTATCAGGCAGTTGTTAGGAGGCCCATACCATCTAGTGCATTTGTCTTACTGAGACCCCTGGGAGAACTGCGATCTGTGGGCCTACACCTGTAGATGTATGTGGTTTACATGTATCGTTGCACGGGGCAATCATGAAACCAGCATAATACATTTTCTTTCGGCCTCAGTGGACTGTGAACAGAAGCGTCTGTTGTTTATTCAGGAACCCTTCGTGTTACGTTTTTGTTATATGAACTCGTGCTTTTTCTCGTGGAGTCATCGTGACCGCGCGGATTAACGAAGACGAAAAAAAACTAGCGTGCAAGTAGTTGCAGAGTCATTGCACTCAGCAAGACCACTGTTTCTAAATCTAGAAAACCTTTATATTAAAAAAAAACATTACAACATTCGCATTCCTCACCAACTATACTCTGCCGGTGGCTCCTGGTTCTAGGTACCTTCTTTGTAAAGGACTCCTTTCTCCGAATTCCACCATGGCTGGCTGTCCGAAAGCGCCGCCGTCAGTTGAGAGCAGTCCGGCGCCGGCCCAGAAATTCGTTAAATCTTCTACTGCTTCCGCGAATAAACCAAAACACAAGATGCCTGGATCTGGCCGGCAATCAAGGGCACCTGTCCCTGCAACACCTAGCTCCAACCAATGCGAGCAGACCACCGCTTCTGTGGACACAGAGTCGGCCGTCGGCGTTCTGATACAACACTTTCTCGATGTTAATGAGAAGCTTCGCAGGCTGGAGAGCGAAACACCGAGCACGGTTCTGCGATTATGCCACCCTGAGGTTGTTATGGAAGACAGGCTGTTTTCGGACTTCCTGAGGGAATCCAACGAGGAGTGAGTCTGAAACTGTGTCTATACGCGTCGCTCCTTAACTATTAATTGTGATATGCACTATAAGCTACTTAGATAATCTTATTGCAGTGTTGATAGTAATTTGGGGGCGTGCGTGTCACTTCAATCACAAGTTTTGAATACAACGGCGTAGGGCATACGTACAA